GGTTTCCCCTTTTTTTCTTCCCCCGGGAGAGGCTTCCCTTTCGGGCCCCCCCAACCCCCCCTTGGCCCCCCTTGGCCCCCCCCCTTAACCCCTCGGGGCCCAGCCCCGCCAACGTTGACCGCCAGGCTTGGTGGCCGGCAGTGGGCCGCGCGCTTCAGCCCCTCGCGAGGAACGTAGCACCCCACTACTCTCGCCGGCCGTCCCGGGCGGGCGGGAGGGCCGGCGCGCGACCGCCGACGCCTCAGAAGGGCAAGTTCGGTGGCGCCATCCGTTGCGGCTGGTTGTTGTACATCGACATGATGTCCTTCTTGCTGCCCGGAGCACTCTTCGACGGCTGCAGCATGCCGTTCGCGGGGGCGGCCGCCGCCGCTCCGCCGCCGACGCCCACCCCGAGGCCGCCTACTCACAGCGCCAATCGTGAGAGAGAGACACTGCGCCGCGCCGCCGAGGCGCCGCCCGACGCGCCACTGCCCATGCTCATCGCGCCGGGCATCCCGTGCATGAGCGGGTTGGGAGCGCAGCCGCCTCCCATCTGGCCCATCTGCCCGCACATGCCCGGCGGGGGCATGCCGCCCATGCCGCCCATGGGCGCGCCGCCGCCCATCCCGCCCACCCCGCCCACCCCGCCCATGCCGCCCATCGCGCCCATCGCGCCGCCCACACCTCCCATCGGAACCATGCCGCCCATCGGGCGCATGCCAACCATGCCGCCGCCCATGCCGCCGCCCATGCCGCCGCCCATACCGCCACCCATGCCGCCACCCATGCCGCCGCCCATGCCGCCGCCCATCATGCCCATGGGGGGGCGGGGCGCCGGCGGCGGCATCATCGCGCCCGCCTACAGAGACCAGAACCACCGCCTCGATCGGGTCGCCGTCGGTGCTTGAGCTGCAGGACGGGACTACAGCCGAGATGCAGCCGAGATGCAGCCGAGATATAGCGAGGCGGGAGGAACTGCAGCACGGGACTACAGCCGAGATACAGCCGAGATACAGCCGAGATACAGCCGAAGGGAAAACGTGGGGCAACGAGCGGCGCGCACCGGCAGGCCCTTGAGGCCGCCGGCGCCGGCGCCGGCGCCGCCACTCGAGCCGACGCCCATGCCCGCAAACGAGCTTGAGAGTGCGGCGACGCCGCTGCCTACGTCACCACGGACGCGCCGAAGTGAGGGAGGGAAGAGACGGCCTCGTGCAGTGCACTCGTAGCACCGCGTGAACACGAGAAGCTACGGATACAACGGCTCCCCGCGGAATACGGCGGAGTGACACGAGAAGCTACGGATGCAACGGCTCCTCGCGGAATACGGCGGAGTGCAGCGGACTCCGTGTCCTCTCGACCGCTACTAGTCGGAAGGTGTGCCCGCGTCTAGGCGGTGGTGCCAGCCGAGGCGACGCACGCGCCGCTCGGGGCGGTGAAGGACTTGCGCAAGGGCGGCGCGGAGGCCGTCCCCGCCGGCGCCGCGGAGACGAAGTCGTCAAACGCGGCGCTGGGCGAGGCGGGCGGGAGGCTGCCCGAGGGGGCGGCGGAGAAAGACGCCCATCCGTCCCGCGACGACGACGCGCGCTTCGGGGGCGACGGCGCGGGCGGCGGCGCGCTGGAGAAGGTTTGCCAGCTGTCGGCGCCGCCGCTCGCCGCCGCCGCCGGCGCGGGCGCAGCGGAGAAGCTGGCCCAGGCGTCTGGCGTGCCCGCGGCCTAGGGATACACAGGTGCAGACGCCAAGATGAGGGCGGGAGGCCGGTGTCGGCCGTGTACTCAGAGCACGCCGTGAAGACGAGGGAGGCGAAGCGGGTCGCATACAGTCGAATGCGGCTGAGCCCGCGCGAGCGCTAGTTGGAATACACGAATCCGCCTTCCGCTTCTACGGCCACCGGCCTCAAAGGCGGAAAAGCCGCCGCCAGAGACGCCCGCGCTGCGGTCGACGGTGATCGAGTCCCCTCCCAGCAGGTCCATCCCCCCCGCATAGGAGCCCGGCGCCGAGGCAGAGTAGAGCGTCGCCGGCTCGGCCGGGGTGGCGTTGCCCGGCGGCGGCGTCGCGCTGCCGGTGGGGCCGGGCGAGGGCACGTCCGAGTACCAGCGCTTCTCCTCGTACGCGATCCGCACAAACTCCTTGAGGTCGTTGGGGTGGCAGCCCTTGACGGGCCACTGAGGCGAGTCGGCGGGCAGCTTCGCAAAGTACTTCGCCATGTTGGCCAAATTGCCGCCTCCCGCCGCCCCTGTGAGCGCCCGCACCTCGTCCTTGTTCCAGTTGGACATCGTCACGCTCTTGCACCGGTGCGAGAAGGCCTGGTGCGCCGACTTGCAATCGCCGCACACAAAGATCTGGAACTTTACGCAGATCGCGTTGTAGCCGAGCCGGTCCTCGTGCTTGCAGGTGGCGCAGCGGCGGTTCTCCGGCAGCCGCCGAAGCTTGGCGAGCTCCGCCTCTGCCATTGTTGCCCTGGCGCGGGCAGCGGGAGGGCGGCTCAGGGCGGCGGTGGGGAGGGCGACGGCGCATAGGGCGGCGGCGGTGCTTTAAGGTTGACGGCCGGCGGGTTATAGAGGTGCCTGTGTGCGGGTTTAGAGATGCACAGAGACGGCGGCCTTGCCAGCTTCGGCGCCTTCACAAGAGGTTGGTAAAAGGAGTTGTTTTTATCGAGGGCGGAGGGCAGACGGCCTTGGTCGCCCGCATCCGCCGCATCAATTCCCCTACGACGAATACAGTGGAGGCGTGGCAGCTCATGTGAGCTTGTTTGTGTCTGTGTGTCGCTCGTGCGTGCGTGTCGTCATCATCTGTCTTGAGTGTTAGAGTTGTTTGGTATTGCTAAAAATCTCTCTCTGTTGTTGTCTTGCGTCCACCCATACCGCGTTGGTGTCCAGTCCGAGCCTGGCTGTTCTTCACCTTTCTACCTACCTACCTAGCTCATACCGTTTCACGCATTCCTCAAAATTAAGAGAGAGATTTTTTCAAAATTAATGACTTGAGGAAGAGCGTCCAAGATGATTTGTAGCATAGGATCGCTGTCGTAATAAGCTCGCAACCTTGCGTAATAGCGTTGCGCAACTGATTTTGTAACGTTCGTAACGCCTCGCATTTTGCGTGCACATGCTTCCTGCCCAGCGGCGCACGCGACAATGTAACACAGGCAGAAACATCATGCTGCTGTTGCTCAGTCCATGGCTTATGGATCCAGCCTCGTGCTTTGGCCAGGCGCAGCCGTATGATGAGTGCACGGGAAGTTACTTGGAATGTGTGGACGCCGACGCAGATGGCCGACTAAGTGCTCAGGAGCTCCCCCCTTGCGCACTGGAGGCGTGCGACCTGAATGGAGATGGCAACGTTACGCTTGGGGAGTGTGCGACATCCCAATGTGCAAAATGCCGGGCGCTGGCTCAGCCACTCGCCATTCCCAGTGCTCGACGACAGCTGAGGCGACGTCCTGTCAATGGTCAAGGCAGTTTCGCTCAGGTGGTATCCTTTTGTGCCATACGATCGAAACGTACCGCTCGTATCGTACGCCACATGTCACGTCTCAGGAGCAGCACGACCTATGCCTCTGCATCGCGATGGGCACGTGCAGCGGAGATGATAGCGACGTGCCCATATTCGAAACGGACGAAGGAAGGCTCTGCACTCGTCCGGCACAGAACAGCGATGAAACAAGCAGAGGCGGTGGGGCCTGCAGCTGCGGCCACAGCAGCAGAAACACAGTGTTTGGCCGTGTCAACGGCGACCTCCGAAAGTGCTGCCTGGACGAGATGCGCATTGAGAACGGTTCGTGCTGCTACCCAGGCTGGATTGTCGATACCGAAGGCGGCGCATGTTGCGACCCAAATAGCTGTTATTGCTTTGCGCTGGTCATTCGGCGGAATAGCCCCCCTACAAAAGTGGAGTTTTTCGATCCGGGAATGTCGGAGACCGTGCAATCACTACGGTCTTGGATGGCGTCGGGTTGTGAGGGGTCCGGGTGTGGCGGTAGCTCGGCCTCGGGGTGACTACTCGGGGGCGGCGCGGGGGGCGGAGGCAAGGGCACCTTAAAAAATTGATTGTGTTGTTGTTGTTATGTCTTGGAGTGAAAGTTTTCTCGACGAGGTGGGGATCCTTGATGAGGAGATTCCCAGATTCTCTCCACAGATTCCACCCCCGAAAAACCTGCCCTTCGTGAATTCATTGCGGCCGCGGGTTTGCCACTCGGATTACTTTTCCCACCAAAGTGAAGCCGCACTTCGCAAATTTTCAACAAAAGAAACCATACCAGCGACACTATGGATTTCGGGTGGCACACAGGTTTGTACACATGCTCATGCAACGTACTCAAAAGTATGTGGGGGTGGTGAGCCTGAGCGGCTTGTCTCATCACACCCGCGCAGCTTTGCCGCCGCCGCCCTTGCCGTAGCCGTTGCCGCCGCCGCCCCTGCCACCGCCGCCGCCCTTGCCACCGCCGCCCTTGCCACCACCGCCGCCCTTGCCATCACCGCCGCCCTTGCCACCGCCACCCTTGCCACCGCCGCCGCCGCCCTTGCCACCACCACCTCCGCCCTTGCCGCCGCCCTTGCCCTTGCCCTTGCCGCGCGAGTAGCCGGCCTCCGCGGCGCGCTTCACGCACTCGGCGATCCACGCGTCCGTGGTGGCGCCCATCCGCTGGCGCGTCTCGGGCGAGCAGCCGGTGGCCGCGGCGTACGCGTCCCAGCTCGCCGGCTCGGCGCTGCCCGTGAGCTCCTTCCACGCCGCCTGCAGCGCGTCGAGGCGCTCGGGCACCCGGCCGTTCGACGCGTCCATCGCCTCAGCGGTCGAGGCCGGGGCGTCGCCAATCACCTCACGCAGCACCGTGAGCTGGAAGAGGAAGATGCCGCGGCTGACAGCGGTCGCCCGGAAGACGGCCGCCGCCTCCGCTCGGCACTCGCCCTGCCACCACATCACGCAGCGCACGAAGCTCTCGTCGAGGTAGGCGTCGACGAACTTGGCGCGGTCGTACTCGCCGACGAGCGCCGTGGCGAGCGCGAGCAGGCAGCCGACGTCGGGCACGGCGCGCTTGTGCCGCGCGGCACGGTCTTCGATGAAGCTCTGCACCGTGCGCACCGCCTCCGCCCGCAGCGTGCCGTCGGTCGTCACGCACCAGTGGAGCGCGCGCCAGAAGGAGGAGAGCGCCTCGAAGAAGGCGATCGCCGAGGCCTTGTCGCCGCGGTTGATCTCCACGACCATGGAGTTGATCAGCGCGGGGAGCACGGCGAGCGGCGGGGAGAAGCCGCCGCTGCCGCCGGTCGCCTTCGCCAGCTCGGCGAGCGACGCCTTCATGCGCGCCGCCCACTGCGGGCTCTCGCTCGCGTGCGCGGGGTTGATGAAGGCGGGCAGCCAGTGCGTGAACGGCTCCTTCTGCGACGTCTGCCGCAGGCCCTGCTCGTGGAAGGCCGACCACGAGATCAGCTCGCCGAAGCTTTTCGGCTTGCCCTTCTCGAAGTACACGCCGTAGCCGAGCGTCGCCTCCTCGTGCGTGAGCAGCGAGAAGTAGCACCGCGCGACCGGCGTTGCCGCCAGCGGCGTGGCCTCGGCCAGCTCCGTCGGCGTCTCCGTCTCGAGCGGCGGGTACGGCGCTTCGCCCGAGTGCTCGTAATCGCCGATCTCGCAGCGGTAGCTCCGTGCGCGCTGGTACAGATCTCGCTTCTCCCGCGGGCTCAGGCTGCCGTCGAGCTCCAGCAGGAGCGCCTGCAGGTTGAGCAGCAGCGTCGAGACCGAGTACGCCGGACTCCACCCAGATCCGCGCTGTCCGGCCCACTCCCTGTGGTGGTGCCCAAAGTTTCCGAGGATATCGAGGCAGATTATTTGGGCGCCCTTGAGCTCCGCCCCGTCGTGCTCAGTGCCGATGCTGCTGGCGCCCATGCGGTACGGCCAGTGGACGAGGAAGCCAGCGTTAGGTGCCGACGCAGGATAGTCTGCCTTGAACTGGATGACCAGGTGCATTGGCGCAACTAGGAGCGTCGACGTGTCCACCTCGAGCGGCACGGCTATGTTGGCGTGCCACACGAGGGCGTTGTCTTCGTTAGGGACCGCTGAAACACTCGGGATGGGCGAGGCGAGGAGCTCCTTGTACTCCTTGGCGAGGCGCTTGAGGGCGGCGTGCGACATGGCTTGGGCGGTGCTTTGTGTTTGTCTGGGACGCGTCGATGGGACGCGTCGACGCCTTGACGACAGACTTCACACATTTTTTTCTAAGCGCCTCTCGAGCTTGAGGGGTCGAACGAAGGCCGAGGCATCGCAAATAACATGGAGTATCCGCGGGTCGGGAGGGGGGAGGACGGCTTTTAATTATTTTTTGTCGAGAGAGTGGCCGCGACCACGACACAGCCACGACCGCAACCACGACCCAACCAACCCAACACGCAGAATGGCTTTCGCGAACGCGATGGACTCGCGCATCATCGGAGAGAACGGCGCTCCGTCGCTTGCCACCACGGGCAGCAAGCTCCTCGACCTGCACACGGCACTCGTGCGCGGACTCTCGACGTCCGCGCTCGAAGGCCTCTTCGCCGCGGCACTCAAGGAAGCGATCACGGTGGAAGCCAAGGCGGACATTGTCATCCTCGCCTTCCAGACCAGGGCCGCTCGCGACGGCAAGGGCGAGCGGCGTCTCTTCCATGAGCTGCTGCGGCTGATCTGGTCGACACTTGGCGAGGAGGCGGTAGTCGCCGTGCTGCCGCTCGTCCCCACGATGGGCTACTGGAAGGACCTCTCGATGATAATCGCTCTCGAGAGTACGCCCGCGGCCGTCGAGGGCCGCTGCCTCGACATCATGGCCGAGGCGCTGCGGGAGGACGAGGCCGAGCTCAACGCGGCGGCGGCCGCGGACCGCAAGCCGCTCAAGCTCTCGCTTGTGGGCAAGTGGGCTCCGCGCGAGCACTCAGCCCACGACGCGACCGCCTCCAAGCTCGCGGTACTGCTGTACGGCAGCGCGAACAAGGCGGCGGCGCGGCGCAAGTACCGGAAGCTCGTCTCGGCGCTCAACGCGGCGCTCGGGACGACGGAGGTGCTCATGGCCGCCAAGCGGTGGGCCGAAATCCGCTTCGCGCACGTCGCGTCGACGTGCCTGGCGCGCCATCGCAAGGCGTTCCTCAACGAGCGCCTCCGCGAGGTGCCGTCACGCGCGCAGGCTGAGACGGGCAACCGCCACCCTCGCGACGCGGCTCGCGTGGCGGCGCGCCGCCACCTGCGCGCACAAATGGCGAGCAAGCGCGGCGTCAAGGGGCGCGCGCTCTCGGGGCCGCACGAGATCGTCGCGCGCTGCATGATCCACATGGAGCAACAGATGGTCATGGCGGCGCTCGGCGACGACATGGACTACGACAGGCGCGGCCTCATGTCGGATGCCGAGGGAGAGCTCGTAGAGGCGCAATGGGCCGACATGCGCGACGGCGTGCGCGCGTCGCTGCTCAAGGCGGAGGAGCAGCGCGCGCGCGCGGTGCTTGCCGCCGCGGCGCCGGCGGCGGCGGCCGTCGGTGGCGGCGACCTCGGCGCGCTGCGCTCCACGCTGCGGCGGTGCGGCGTCGACATGGGCAAGGTGGTGGCGCTCGTCGACGTGAGCGGCTCGATGACCGGAGCTCCGATGGAGGCGGCGATCGGGCTGGGCATCCTCACGAGCGAGCTGGCGGCGCCCGCCTTCCGCGATCGGGTGCTCACCTTCGAGGCGAAGCCTCGGTGGGTCGACCTGAGCGGGTGCGGCTCGCTGCGGTCCAAGGTCGAGGCGTTGGCCGCGGCGCCTTGGGGCGGGTCGACGGACTTCGCCGCGGCGTGCGAGCACATCCTCGCGGCAGTGCAAGCGGCACGGCTGTCGGCGGACGAGATCCCCGACCTGCTCGTGCTGAGCGACATGGCCTTCGACGAGGCGCACGGCGAGGGCCATGTCGCGTCGTGGGCGACGCACCACGAGCGGCTGCAGCGACGCTTCGCCAAGGTGGGCGTCGCCGTTTGTGGACAGCCATACCCGCCGCCGCGGATCCTGTACTGGAACCTGCGCGCGGCGGGCGCAGGCTTCGCGGCGGCGGCGGACGCGCCGGGCACACAGCTGCTCTCGGGCTTCTCCCCCGCGATGATCAAGCTCGTACTCGCCGGTCACGAGCTGGTGCTCGAGGAGGAGACGCTCGTCACCGCCGAAAGGCGCGGCGGGCCGACGCCGCTGCAGACGCTGCGCGCCGCGCTCGACGACGCCGCCTTCCACCCGGTGCGCAGCGCGCTGAGCGCGCTGCCCATTGGGCCGTTGGCGGCGTACCGCTGGCCGCCGGCGGAGGGAGGGCGCGAGCCCGAGGAGGAGGCGGCGGAGGAGGAGGACGGCTTCGAGCTCGTGGGCGCCGAGGAGTGTGTGCGGGTAAAGTCCTGTGAATAATAGGCTGTGAATACGAAAGTGGAAATATCGGGATGGCCAGACAATCATAAGAAAATCTGAGTTTTCCGAAAAGGGTATCGGCGAGCCTGCGCTCGGCGCGAGGTGCATTCGCCGCCCCGGCGACCAGGTCCGTTGACGAGGCGTCCAGCGTTGCGTCGCTGCACGCTGGGCGGGAAGGACAGCATCGCCGCTTGCCTTGCCTCGCGAAAGCGCGAGAAGGGAAACTCGGTCGCGAGCGGACCGGGCAGCTCGTACATCGCCGCGTTGCCCTCGATGGCGCCCTCCCCGACGTGCGGAAGCGCCCTTCCGTCGGGTATAGGTCGCGTTTGCCGTTGCGCGCAAGCGCGCCGCCCGCCAGCCGAACGACTGTCCGATGAAGCCGTGGGCTTGGGACAGCGCTGACTCGTCCCCGTGCGCGTGCAGCGACACGTCGAGCCGGTGACGCGGGCCATTGATGCGACCCCAGACTGGCGCGGCAGCTTAGGACCCACTGGACACCAACGCGGTATGGCTGGACGCGAGACAGATGATGACGACACGCACGAGCGACACACAGACACAAACAAGCTCACAAGACACACGGCCGGGCGTTGACAGGAAAGCATAGGACGCTAGAGTACGCGCCATTGCGACCGCGGAAGTCCGCACGGCCGCCACGAGCGAATGCCAAGTGCGGATCCTTCTTCAATACATGTTTGCGCATTGGCTGGCGGCGCGAGTGAGCAGGCCGAGGGCAGAGAGGGCGGCAAGGAAGAGCCGTCTAGGGGACCGCACCGGCACGCAGCATAGGGACATCGCGTTGCGCGAATCCTCCGAACGACGGCGGACCACCGGAGGTATCTATCACGAATCGATCTGGGGGGGCTTGCGTGCTAGACCAGGTGCCCGAAAATTGCGCGCCAGACCAGTCACGGCTTTGGCGACGGCTGGTGTATGCCTCCATCAGGCCCGAGTCGGGATCCCTCTCGAGCACCGAGGACCGAGGGTGAGCCACGCACGGGTCTACCTACCCGGGTATTTTGCGGGCTACCTGAAACCCCCCCGGGTTTACCTGCCTGGAAACTACCCGGCCCGGGGAGGGTCTCCGCTGATTTCTTTACTTATGAGAGAGAGAGTTTTGAAGACCAACAAGAAATCACGACTCTCACAGAGATTTGGGCTCGGCAGCTTGTTAGCCCTCAGCCGAAGCTGGGGCCGAGAGCGTACTTATGCGGATGTCGGATGCGCGCCTCACAAGCACTTGCTCAGAAAGAAAGAAAGAAAGAAAGAAAACAGACCACCCAAAAAAAGTTTGTCCCCCGATTTTGTCCCACGGACCGCCCGTCCGGCACCGCTCCGGGACGCACGCCGACGAAGCACCATCAAGCTCTGTACGGCCCCAGCAACGCATTCACGGCTTTTAGCTAGACTGAGAATATTGTGCACATGGTTGGTCTCTACAATATATACACTGACACTCTACCTCCCAGAGCTCGTCCCGGTCCGCCACGGCCATCCTCGGCCTCCGTCCGGAGGGCCCCCGGCCGAATTCCCCCGGCCGCGGCGCGGTGGGTGCGGCGGCGTCACAAATCCGACCACAGAGCACCGGGACGCGGTCGGGTGATCTGAGGCCCAACTAGGCGTATGCATTGCCCATCCAGGGCTATCACCTGGACCTATCAACAGGCGCCTGCGGCGCCGTGCTCGGAGCTGCTGCTCCAACCTGTTCACACTTGCGTGCAGTCCGGATGTCGGAGCTAGGCGGCGGCGTTAGGCAAGCCGCGGACCTTGCAGGCTGGTCGGCGAGTCGATGCAAGAACTGCAGCCGGCTCACCACGCACCCGTACGTCCACTCCTTCACCGCCGATCTCGAGCGGTGCAAGAACCGCGCGTGGGTCGGGTCGGGAGGAGCGTCGGGCTGGATCGTCGCGCCGTCCTCGGGCGAGGGCGCCTCGGCCGAGCTCGAGGGCGCCTCCTTTTGCAGCGGCGACTGCCTCTACTCGCTCCTCTTCTCGCGCGGCCTCCTCTCGCCAAAGCTCGAGGACCGCGCGCTCCACTTCTTCCGCCGGCATGACACGCTCGGCCTCAACTCGCGCGCCTCGGCGAAGGACACCCCGCAGCAGCCGTCGCCGCACGAGCTCGGCTCGGCCGCCAACCGCTGCTCCTCTCCGACGCCGACCGCCACGCAGCGCGCGATGAACGCAGCGAGACACCGCGGAGGCGGAGGCGGAGGCGCGTTCCCTCAGCTGAGCGCCGTCCGCGTCGAGGAGGAGGCGAGCGGTAGCAGCGGTAGCGGCAGCAGCGGCAGCAGCGGCGGCAGCGCAGGAGTAGCAGTGGCACGAGTAGCGGGTGTGTTTCCGCGCAGCAGCGGCTGCCGAGGCTTCGCACAGCGACCACAAGACGTCAGAGGCGACGTCCCCGCCTCACCACCACGCGGCCTCTGCCCTCCCAGGGCGAATCGCTCGACGGCACGCCGATCGTGCCGCCCGGCGCTGCGGCCCTTTTCGGCGGCGGCCCAGGCGCAGGCGGCTGCGGAGGCGGCGGGAGCGGTGGCAGAGACGGCGGCGGCAGCAGCAGCAGCGGCCGTGGCGGCGGCGGGCGCTCTCTCGGCCACGGCGCGACAAGCATCATTGGCTTTGCCAGCGGCACTGATGCGGGCAGCGGCGGCGGTGGGGTGGGAGGCATCGGCGGCGGCGGCGCAGCCGCGGGCGGCGGCGGCCCAGGCGGCGGCCTCGCGGACGGACGTCAGAGCGCGCAGCTCGCGCAGCAGTTCGACGAGGACGGCGGAGCGGGCGGCGGCGGCGGCGGCGGCGGCACGTTGCACCGGATCCGCGAGGGCATGGCGCAGCCCGCCGATCTGCCGGTGCGGGCGCCCGCGTGCGGCGCCGCCAGAGGCCCGGTCCTCATTCCCTTCCCCGTTCCCCTGTGTGTGCGTGCCCAGGTGCGACTCGACCTCTTCCTCCCGAGCGCTGGGGCCGTCCAAGGCGGGCGAGGCGGCCGCCAGTTGCGCGGCCCAGCACGCACGATCAGCCTCGAAGCGGATAGGACGTTGGAGCGCATGCACCAGTACTGAGAGCGGCGGCGAGAGTTGCAGCGCCCGTTACCTGTCGTTATGTCGCCACCCGTCTCCTTCTCGCTTTTGGACCGCGACCGCGGACCGGCGGTCGAGACACGAGTTTCTCGGGCGCGGAGACAGCCTGAGAATGAGCCTCCAAAAGACAAAGAAAGAAGGCGCCTCTCCCCGACGCGTTCTCTCCCAGACACTCCAGGCGCCCGCGTGCACGCGCGGCACATATTGCACAAAACAACGATCCCGCACAAACACCATGTGAAACACGAGAGAAAGAGAGGGCGCACCAGGGCACCCGCGGCGCGGCGCGCCGACGCGCGGTGCCGGGTGCCGCGGAGGGATAGCAACCAGCAAGCAGCAACGGTTGGAGGTTGGACGAGCGTTTTCTTTAACTTTATCATCACCCCGGGTGGTCCGCTCACACGCGCCCGCGCGGTCACCGTGCCGATCCCTCCCCATCCCCCGGTCCCCCGCTATCACTCCGGCAAGGGCGGCAGGGGCGGCGGCGGCTGGGCGCTCTCGCGCGCCGGCCGCACGCCCAGCACGTCCAGCTGGAGGATGTCCGCCTCGCAGCCGAGCAGGTCGCCGAGCGAGGGCGAGGTGCGCCCGAAGTCGCCGTGCACAAACTCCTTGACGTACGTCCCCGCCTAGGTGAGGTAGGTAAGGTAGGCTCCTCCACACACACGAGGTGGTGGGGCAAGGGCCGGGCTACCCCTCACAACTCCACGTCTAAGTGACAGGAGCCCCACGGCATTCAGAGTCCAAGGCCCGGTGTGCGCGCGCGCGTGTGTGTGTATGTGTGTGTGTGTGTGTGTGTGTGTGTGCATGTGTGTGTGTGCATGTGGTGTGTGTGTGTGTGTGTGTGTGTGTGTGTGTGTGTGTGTGTGTGTGTGTGTGTGTGTGTGTGTGTGTGTGGTGCCTGGGTGGTGAGGTCGAGCGAGGCGAAGCGCGGCGCGAGCCGCGTCGCCCGCAGCGCATAGACGGAGCGCGGCCGCGACGCGTGCGACCGCCGATGCAGCACGCGCAGAGGAGTCAGCTGCGCGAGCTCGACGGGGCACTGTCGGCCCAGCGCGTCGAGCTCCACCTGGGAGACGTCGCAATCTCCCGCAATCTCCCGCAATCTCCCGCAATCTCCCGCAATCTCCCGCGATCTCAGCTCCACCTGGGAGACGTCGCGCCCGAGCCGGACCACCGCGCGGTAGTCTTTACAGTGACCGTCCTCGCCCTCCTTGATGAGTGACTGCACGAGCGCCTCGGTCACGCGCAGCTCCGGCACGTGCACGACGCCTGCAGGCGGGGGGCGAGGGAGGGGGGGGCAGAGGCGGTGGCGAGGGCGGAGGAGGTGCGGGAGGAGGAGGCGATGGAGGTAGGGGTGCGGGGGAGGAGGCGAGGGTGAAGGGGGTGCGGGTGGAGGGGGTGGTCACCGCCGCCCGTCAGTCAAGGCGCCCCGCCGCCGTGCCGGCTCCCTCATGCGCAGGGCTGTGTGTCTGTGTGTCTTTATGTCTCTGTCTCTCTCTTTCTCAATTTTGCTCTCCGTGGTGGCGTGTGTGCGGCGGCGGCGGCGGCGGTGGTGGTGGTTGTGGTGGTGATGGTGGTGGAAGTGTCCGCACCCGACTGCGCGATCTGCGTCTGCAGCGCCTCCAGCCCGCCGGCGGGGAGGGCGCTGCGGTGCGCGCCCCGAAGCTCGAGCATGAAGGGACGGCCTGTTCACACCGCCAGCTGTGAACAGACGCCGCTCACAGCGCCGAGCCTCGAGCATGAAGGGGTGGCCTGTTCACACCGCCAGCTGTGAACAGACGCCGCTCACAGCGCGGAGCCTCGAGCATGAAGGGACGGCCTGTTCACACCGCCAGCTGTGAACAGACGCCGCTCACAGCGCCGAGCCTCGAGCATGAAGGGGTGGCCTGTTCACACCGCCAGCTGTGAACAGACGCCGCTCACAGCGCCGAGCCTCGAGCATGAAGGGGTGGCCTGTTCACACCGCCAGCTGTGAACAGACGCCGCTCACAGCGCCGAGCCTCGAGCATGAAGGGGTGGCCTGTTCACAAACAGAGGCGCCGTGACGACGCGGTGGGGACGGCGGCAGCCGCGCGCAAGGGGGGGGGGGGGGGGGGCGTGGACGAGTCATGGGGTGGCGCTCAGGCGTGCCCGGCGCGGCTGGAGTCTCATGGAAAGCTCTCCGCCGGAAGGGGCGAGGTGCGGGTGATCGAGCCATCCCGGGTGATCTCGGGCGATCTCGGGTGATCTCGAGCCATCTCGAGCCGTCTCGGGTGATCTCGAGCCATCTCGAGCCATCTCGATCCATCTCGAGCCATCTCGGGTGATCTCGGGGCCACCGAGTGGAACTTGAGGCTCGCGGCGCCAAAGGCCTTCAGCACCGGCGCGGCGATGATCTCCTCGACCGAGCTGGGGCACTTGCGCACACCTTTTTTGTTGGCATAGGGCAGGGCGCGCGTGAGGAGGGCAGCTGGCGGCGGGGACGGAGGTGGGGGCGAGGGTGGCGGCGGCGACGGTGGAGGCGGTGAAGGTGGCAGTCTCTCGCCGTCGATGATCCACGCCGTCTGCGGCAATTGGCGGGAGAGCTTGAGGTAGCGCCCGCCCAGAAAGACGGCCGCGTGCTCCACCGACACCGAGAGCACGTTCGGCCGGCTCGGCGGCTGCGGCGGGCAGAGCGCGGACGCGCGCAGCAGCTGGTCTGCGCGCTCGCTTGAGAGCGCCTTGAGCACAGACCGAATCGAGTCGGCGGCCTCGGCCCCGCCCGCCTCGCCGCCGCGCCCACCGCCGGCCTCGCCGCCCTGCCCGCCGGCCGTCTCGCCGCCCCGCCCGCCACCCCGCCCCCACTTGCGCTTGGGCCGCGAGCGCGGCGGCGGAGGCAGCAGCGGGCGGAGCAGGTCGAGATCGGCCATGGCCTCCTCCGCGCACGGCCGCCGCACCAGCACGCTGATCTGCAGGGCGGCGTCGGTGGCGCTCGCCAGCCCGGTGGCGCGTGCGAGCCGATCCATCAGAGCCCAGCGCAGCGCCTCCTTGATGTCCACAATGTCGGCGCGGGTGGCGGCGGCAGAGTCGGCGGCGGCGGCGGCGGCATCGGCGGGCGACGGCTTGAGCTTCGCCGCGCGCTCTCGCACGAGCATGCTCGACGGCAGCTGGATGTTGAGCGTAAACTGCGTCACCTCATACGCTACGGCAGCCTCGGCCACGGCCCTGCAGGCGGCGTCGAGGGTGCGCTCCTCCAGGGTGCCGAGGCAGAGTGAGCACACCGGAGTGTCAGCCGCCGCCTCTGCCGACGCCTGGCCATACTCGCCGGCGGTGCGGGTGCCGCTCAACCTCAGCGTGCACAGCTGGCAGGCGGTGCTACCCATCGTGAGACCGCGGGCTGGACGAACCCGCGTGGGCCTTCACAGCCTTGTTATTGAGAAGAATTTAAACAAAAGAACTCTGTCTCAGAGCACACAGGCTCGACACAGGTGCGAACTGGCGCGTGCTAGTACTATCACCGGCACACCACCGGAGCCGCCTAAGCGACTCCGTTAAGAACGGCAATGCACTTAGCACCGTGCACAATGCCGCTGTCCCCGCACGCTAGCTCGTTCACCGTCTGCCACGCCACGGCGGTGTGGAGAACGACAGACAAGCGCTGCATCTGCAGCCCGTGCCAGTTCTTGGTGGTCCATGTGACCTCATCGAGGTGCTGAGCGTGCGAAAGTTTGTTACTCAGCTGGTCCGCCGCCTGGTGTGAAGTGTTTATGTACTGCATCTTTAGTGCACTTTAGCGCAAATTTAGCGCGAATTCAGCGCAAATTTAGCGCGAGTTCACTGCGACTTTACATCCAGATTTAGCGAGGTTTAGTGCGTCTTTAGTCCAGCCGCGCAGTAGGATCCAGCCGCAGCCCCTCGCTGGGCCTCCCTCCCCCTGTCCCCCTGCAGTCCCCTGCCCACTCGCAAAAGTTCCCCGTCCCGTCCCTAACCGAACGAAGGTTGTTCAGCTGAATATCAACCTCCGGTGCTTTCCGGGCTGCTTCTCCGGGCTTACCATTTCGAAAGATCAGCAGACTTGGCTTGACAATAACTATCCGGCTCTTGTGGCGAGGGACGTGCACGCACTAGAGAGGGAGAAGGCAACACGGGACGAGGCCAGGGCCAAGCAAGCCGCAGCGCGGCAGGATGGACCGATTCAAAAGATGCAGAAGGGAGATTTATATAAGAAAATCAAGGAGGTCTTCTTTGAGCTGTTGCCATTGCACTTAGGAGGAGGTGCATGGCTGGGGCTGGATCCAACATGCTTGTACGAGTACACGCGTATGTAAAGCTGCTTGCGGTGACTACATGGATCATGGCCATTTGGCCGTTTCTGTCATCGTGGTCTGGATCCTTCATCCTTTGGTTCAACATTGGCTTTGAAATTCCAAGACCGACCCTCGCCTCTACTCTATTACAGCTGGTGGTCACGGGCACAGCATGGGTTGTGCGGTCGGAGGTGGTGCTTGCGGTGGCGCATTCAACTGTGCTGGTCCTCCTCTCGGGAATTGGTGCTGTGCCTGTGCTCAGTTGGGAGATCTTGCTCTGGAGGGCTGCATATCTAGCCTCACTGGGAGCCTGCCTTTGGGTCGTGAGGGCAGGGGCCAGGCATCTCCTGTGGTGCATTCTTGGCAGCCAAGGAGCAAAGCACGCGGCCCTGGCTAGCTGTGGTGTGGCCGGGAAGCCGTGCTAAAGGTGCGTGCCCGCACTAAAGATGCGGGACCCACACTAAATGTACTGCAGCTGCCCGCACCTAAAGCGAACTAAATGTGGCGCTAAATTGGAGATAAAACACACTAAATATGTGCTAAATATGTGCTAAATTTGCGCTAAAGACGCACTACACACGCACTCGAACACACACTAAATAGCGCACTAAACTGTCACTAAAGTTCATTCACACGCACTAAATTTAGACCCAGGCGCCCTCCGGTTGGGCGAGTAGGCCGTGCGGTCAACGCTGCCGCGCGCGACTTTGCGCGCGAGGCGGCGCAGCTTGAGAACGGCGGTGGGCGAGAAGCCGCCGCCGAACGTCTCGTGGAGCAGCAGGTTGAAGTTGTTGCGCTTGACAAAGATCGCGTCGTGGTAGAAACCGCGATGCGCCTTGACGTAGCCGTGGCCGGTCTTGTGGGAGAAGGGTTGGCCGGGCTGCCCGCGCGCCTTGCAGCCCATGTTTAGGCGGCGGGCCTTTTCTTCGGTGTTGCCGAAGGCGTAGGAGTGGCCAACGGAGGCGGGCGTGCCGCCACTCGAGGCGTTGCCAACGCCCGGCGAGGAGGTCTTGAGGAGGGGCGTCCAGAGCTTGACTTCATTCACCTCATCGCATCCTCCCGGTCCCGCATGGGGTTCCGCGAGGTCGACCTTGTACCCCTCGTTGTACTGCCGGGTGAGCTCTGGTTTCTCCTTGTCGCCGTGCACGACCGGCGCGTTGGCCGGGGCGCGCATCGCGTCCGCCCAGGCGGCGAGGACGCCGTCGTGGGGCCGCCGGTGGTGGGCCTTGTTGTAAAGGTAGTCGCCGAAGAAATCGACTGGCATGCCCCGCTCGAGCGCGACCCGAAGGGTGGGAAGCGCCGCGGAGAGCCAAAGGCCGAGCTTTCGCTGGAGCTCGTCTTGGAGGGTGTCGGAGGAGAGGGCGGTGGCGTATACCGGGGCACGATCAGCACCACCAAGTACGGCCTGACGTGCCAAAAGTGGAGCGATCACTCGCCGCACAATCACACGCACATCACGCCAGACACACACCCGGGCACTGGCCTCGGCGACCACAACTACTGCCGCAATCCCGACCGGAGCGAGGGCAGCGCCTGGTGCTACACCACCGACCCGAGCCAGCGCTGGGAGGACTGCGACATCCCGGCACCCGATGCGGAGGTGTGCGCACCAGAGGGGGAGTCTGGCGCCGCGCCGGGCGACGATGAAGGAGACTTTGTTTTTCCGCCGAGCCTCTTCTCCCCGAGCCCCTCCCCCTCGCCACTCCCACCGCCCAAGCCCTCGCCGTTCCCACCGCCACCGACGCCTCCACGGCCACCGTCATACCCTCACAAGACCTTCGTGGAGACGGTGGAGGAGGTGATCGAACAAATGGAGGAGCAGGCAAAGGAGCACCCCGCAGAGGCTGGGGGTGCCGTAACTGGCGTGCTCGTTCTCTCGGCGGCCCTTTGCTGCGGCCTCTGCTACTTGTGCCGCCGCAAGGGGAAGCAGGACCGCAAAATGAACGAGCTGCGGGTGCGCGAGCGCGCCTTCGACGCGGAGATCGCGCGCTCGAGCACGGAGCTCGCCGACGAGAAGGCGATGCAGTGCAAGGCATCGACGGAAAGCGACAACGAGGGAAACGGGGAGCCTGCCACCTGACCCGTAGACCTTTGAGACTGCCTGCTGGAGCTGCAAGCACGCACTTTTGTTGAACCGCACTTTTCGTTTATTCGTCAGCCCTGAGGGTGCGGCGTGGAAGCTGGCACTGCTGCGTACGTGAGGTCACACGTACCGGCGAGGACGGTCGTGGCGGTGATCGGGGTAATACTAAACGCTTGCGCTCTCGTCTCGATATATCTCGAAAACCGCGTTGCGTGCGCGCGTGCCCAGCGCGTCCCCAGCGCCCAGGGTCGCGGCGTCACACGGGCTGACGCGGCGGGGCCAGTGTGCGTGGGGGGGGACGGCGCGACCCCCCAAAACTTAAGTCTTTTCTCTCGTTTACCGTTGACGTATCGTCTCGGTGTTTACTACTCCGCTCGTGCGCCGATTTCCCTCGCGTGCGCCCAAAAGGGGACCAACAGAGCGACTTGGAGAAGCTACTGGTACTGCGGTTTAGTGCCTCAGCAGGGATGTGCTTGGACCTACCCTCGCGTTCGCTGTGACTGGGGCATCAAGCAAACCACGTATAGAAAGCCGTCCGGGTGGGAGCACGCCTCGTACAGCCAAGAGACGGGCGTGTTCAGCTCTACCACCACCCCTTGCACGATTGCAGTCGGCCGCTGCCCCTCGCCGCCGGAGCTCTCGGCGTCGGAAGCCGCTGCAAAGGCGCGTGGCAGTAGCAGAGCTAGAGCGTCGGCGAGCCTGCGGTGGAGCGTGTTGTGACACAACCGACACCCCTGGTCGAGGCGGCGAGGACGTGGACTCGCGTGGTTGGGTCGCCCGAGGGCAGCAGCGGAGCGACGGGCAGCTGCCGCCACTCGCGCTGCGCGACAAAGGCAGCGCGGTCGGCACAAAGCGCAGCTCGCACGCAGGCCTGCCGAGCGAAGCTGCGGCGGGCAGGGCGAGTGGGTTCAGGTTCGAGGGTTGGTTTGGGAGGCAGAACGGGAAAGCATGGTTTGAAGGCAGAACGGGAAAGCGCTGC